TTGAAATCCCAAACCAATTTTGTTAGTTGAGATGGATTGCTTCTGGACTAGCTAATCAGTTGTTAAGGCGATAAGCACAAGAAAAGATGGATGCTGTACTAAAATCTCTGTAAATAATGTGCAGATGGAAAACAAATATTACCTCTTCAGTTTTTGCTTTACATAAAAACAAACCAAAACCCTGCCAGAAAAAAACAAGTCAGCCATTGTGATGATAGAAGTCTAATACAGAGAAATGATGGTGAAGGTTTTCCTAAGAATTCAACTAAAGTAATGGGTTGAACTTCATCTGCTAACTTCTGCATGTTCTGGTGTTAAAGGAAGGCATATCAATACATGTTGGCAACTTAAAGTCCATGTTCCACTGCACATGATGCAAAGTGAATATAGTATTTCCTGAATCTGATAAAGCAGAATTCAGCCCATGAAAATTTAGATTATAAGAAATATATTAGTTTTTAAGCTTCTATAAAAGTCTTGCTGTTTGCTAATATAAATTTCTGTCTGGAAAAAGTTTAAGACAGGACATTGCAGCATTTTCAGGCAGGCTGCAGCTATGTTCTCTGTACTTGTACCCACTTTTCAGGCAATAACCCTGAGGCTGTAAACACCTTTTTATTTTTACCAGTGATAATGTGATGCAGTGGTCTTCCAAACTCTCCTCAGTAACAGTTACAATGTTCAACATTGATATCACTGGGATTTAACCAAGGGTATCAGAAGCACCAGGCCTACCTTGGCTGTTCTAAAAAAACAGAGCTGGACCTAATTAGAACTTGGACAGGAGACCATCAGTAAAATCTAGGGTGATGGTAAACTGGGAAACCAGAAAAGCTTGCCAGAAGAAGGCAGTAGCAAACCACTTCCATTACACTACCAAGAAAACTCAATGGAAATGTCCAGGTAGTCAGCAGAACCTGACCTTGACTCAAAGGAGACTTTATCTTCATAACAGTATAAAAGTAATAAATTGCCTAAAATTACAGATTTATTGTTGTGAGGATAAAAACAGACCTGTATGTGATTAATTTTAGAATATTTGCATACTGGACTTTAACTTCCCTACAGGACTCATTCACCTGTACTTATAAGCCAATGTGTTTATTGTGCCTATTGAAAAAAAGTATTTCATCTCTGATTTGTGGTGATAAAAGGGGTTTTATGAAGGAAACCAATGCCAGATCTGTTGAAGGTAAAATGTGTTACAACACAGAAGGGGTGTCCATGCAGGATATTCAAAAAAGTCAAAATGGCAGGTGTGATTGTGCAAAGGCCCACCCTATGTGTGTGACACATGCAGTGCATGCTAAAAGGGGCAGGGCTTTAATCATGTGGTTGCACCCATTGTCTTGACTTTTTTGAAACCCCCCCCCCCCCCCCCATCCCTTTAACACAGTGCCTGGTAACATTTGTCCAGGGACTGATTTTCACTGTAGAGCATGGTTGTAAGGAAAGATTTGCAGCATGAAGTATCGAGCTGAGAAGGAATGCTTAACCAAACTACTGCCTGCCAGTCTTCTCCTGAATTTCCCCTCTGAACTGCCTTCCCAATGAGACTGCAGACATAGAGGATGACAACATGTAAATACTGGCTTTGTTCATACAACATACTGAATCACAGAATACTCAACCATTTCAAACCTAGTGGGTGTGTTAATTTAGACATTCCAGCATTAATATGATTTCATGTAAATTCAGAACACTAGGGTAATAAAGTTAACCAGGTTGTGCAAATACAGCCATTAACCCACAAGCTAATCAACTGTTGCCTGTCATAAAAATCCAGTAATAATGTACCATTTAATTCTAAGTTAACAAGCCTATGTTTCTTTATCAAAATATCTTTCAGTATAGAATATCAGTGTATCTCACTTATAAGAAGCTCTGTTATTCAGAGTGATAAAACAATTTTTTGTTTGCTGTCATGCTACTTATGAAAAGAGTCTTAGGGCTCATCCATACCAACCAGGTTGCTCCAGTGCAAGTACAGGACACTCATTGTTTCTCAAGAAATGCATTTACCCCCAGCCCAATGGGAAGATACCCTCTGTCCATTTTTCCTTTCTGTGCATCAAAAGTAGTGTTTTCCGGTTAGTGTTGGATCAAGTAGTAGTGTCTTGGTGAGCTGCTTTGCTTCATTTTATTGTAGGCAACTGCTGCCTCGCTGGTTGGCTACTGTGCACCGTAGTAGGAACACTCCCTCCAATGGTCACTGACCTCCTTGGCTATGTCATCCTGGGCTGGTAAAATGGTAGACTTAAAAAAGCCAAACAGGTTCACCAATGGACTGGTGAAAGGCAGATTTTTAGTTTTCTTTTTTAACAATCTGATGAAACATGAAATTATGGACCTTTTTTCCTCCCCTTTTCTTTTTTAGCTGGGTAAAATTTACAAGAGTTCTGCCAGCTTCCCCTTCTGGCCCAATTGACAGGAATAATGGTAAAATTCTGGCATTTCCTTCCTTCGTTCATCCACCATTAGATGCATCAGATGGAAGGTGCCAAGTACGAAGGGGAGTCAACAGAGGGGAAACCACATTCATTAAAGAACTACCCAAGGAAAGGAAATTAATTGGTGCTTGCTTTCTCAGCATAGTTGGGAGGGGTAAAGAAGCAGGGCAATCTACCAGTCAGGGTCCAAAATACCAGGCCATAACCATGGCCAAATTGGGGAAGGAATTGGAATTCAGAAAGGAGGTTGTTAAGCCAGGTTCATTTTCAGCCAATTTACATGTGGGAGTCAATCAGCTTGAAGCTGCAGTGCAGAAAAGCCTTTAGACAGGAATAGTGTGGAAAAAATGCACATTCAAGCAGCTAATGAAGGTAGTTTGGATTACAACCCAGCTTGAGGTTTCAAAGCTCAGATTTCAATTTCCCTTTTGTAGAAATGTTGTTAAATTTATATAGTGAGATGTTAGGCATTAATATATTTACTATATTTGAATAATGCTTAATTTAGGTGGTGTCCCACTGTAGAACCGTTTTCAGTGACCACCTGCTTGTTTGCTTGGAAAGCCTCTGTTGTATGTTCAGAGGCTCTCTTGTCTACATCTCTTCAGCTTCATCATGTAGAACAGCTTTGATATAATCTGCCTTGGGTTTTCTCAGTTGAGCTAGAGTTTGTTTAATCAAATTAGTTTAGGCTTAGGCAGCACAGACTGATAGCTCTGAAAATTTTGAAGAGAGAACCCTAGTTCAATAGTATAGCACAAGATTTGCATATAGAAATCATTAACCAGTAGTAGATCCCTGCTTAAGAACTTGGAGAGATGTCAGCAGTTAGTTAATACTCCCTGTATTTGCATGATATGCTCAGCTATAAATATACATGACAGGGCACAATGTTGTTCTTAATCTCTCACATACTACTCTTTGGCTATGTTTACATGACACACTGAACTACAAACTAATCAGCCACACTTTAGCTAAGTGTGTTATGCAAACGTAACCTGTGTGGTCAGCATATGCCTCTATGCATTATGTGAATTCACAAAATCGAGCAGATAAATTGCATTGTTTGCTGGTTTAATTATTTACTTACTCAAATGTGTATGTCACACCCAGTCAAAGACTCTAAGGGGCTTATAATTATATACATCCAAATCCCACAATAAAAAAATATTAATAATAACATCACAAATTAAAACTAAAACCTGGCATGAGAGACAACAGCCTAAATATCTTGAGTTAACTATGGGTAAACATATTGTATGAATACAGACTTTAACTGAAAGTTTAGGTTTATCATCTTATTTGAACTATAAACAGGTGTCTTTTGGATTCCTTTTATACAGGAATATGCTGCATTTGAGTAAATAGTTCAACTTTGTAGCCATTTACAGTTGAAATGGCTCTATAAGCCTTAAACCTCAAGAAAGAGTAGTTATCAAGTTTTATAGCTAAGCGTGTCCTGTGAATACAAAAATGAAGATGAAACAAAAAGTGTATGACCTACCATGGGACGGGTTCATGCTGCCTTATAGATTAAACACCTTACCCCAACAGCTGGAATTCAGTGGTATCATCCATATAAATGGAAAATATAAAACTAACTAATAATAGAAACAGCATCTAATAAGACCAAGATAAAGCCAGCAGCAAGATTAAAAACAATGCAAGATATAATATCAAAATATAGTCTGTTGCAAAATAAAACAGATCTTAAAACATTTAAAAAGACATTAAAAAGACTGGAGTGGGAGGGGGAGCACCACCTGATGTCAAAAAGGTAAAAAGGCGTATGCCAGGAAAATCTTTGGGATGTTGATTTGTTTCATCAAGTTACCTGTCTAGATCCATCACTCAGAATGTATCTCTCTTTCATTAGATACCTCACTGCAGAAGGAAAGCCAGTCATTTGCTTGGGAAATATTCATTCCTATGCAAGGCTGGCAAAAAGTATTCCAGATTACCTCTTGGGTGCCTGCTGCCCTCAGCCTTCTCTGTTCCCCACAGCATCCTCTGGCTGGGTGAGTGATTAGTACTTCACCAGCACTTCCCATGTTCAGGTGGTTGGTAATCCAACTGTCTGCAATGTCTCATGGACTTGGGTGACCCACTCCACTCTATGCAAACCAAATTTTGTCTTTGGGACAAAGTGTAGTTAAGATTTTATTTGGATAACATCTTTTATCCTGGGTTATCTGGATTAAAGCAGCCACTAAGTGGAGTTTCTCCAGCTAGGTGATTTTTCTCAGCCAGTTTGTTGTGACTCTAGTTGGACCACTAAGGATTTTACTGTATTTTTTAACTATAATATAACAGTAAGTGTAAAATGGTATACTGTTTCTTAACCTTGCAAGAGAGCATTTGAAGGACATTAAGTTACAGCCTGCCCATTGTGATATGATCTTATAATTTTTCATTTTCTGTTTATGTTGTATCTTGCTGTGAGCTGAATGGAGCAACACAGATATGTTAGTAATAAATATGTAAAATATCAAGGTAAAAAGGAAATGGTTGTGCCTAGAGAAATTATGGTAAAACAGTCATAAGCAGCTTCTGAAGGAGCCATGTGAGCCTGGAAAAAGACACTGCTGCTTTAATGAGTTGAAGAGAGATGCTTCCTGTGTGCTCCTATGTGCTTTAAAGCACCTGTTTTGATGCACTTGCACAGCTTTATTTCTGAGCTATGGTGTCTCCCAAATTAGAATTTATAGAGGTAAATATAGAACAAAATCAGATCTACAATAGGGAACAGGGATAATACATACATAGGAACCAGTGGATATGAAGGAAGTATCATGGTGGTCAAATTAACTCAAAAATACTGATCTTAATTTATTAGTTCAGCTTTATGAGGGGTTTGTTGCAGCACAGGGTCAAGATCTGCAATCCATGTTTCTGCTAGCATCCCTACCGGCTGAGTATACCATCCCTTCAAGCCACACCCAAGAATAGGCTGGCTACATAAAATAACCTGCGGTCCTCAGAATTGGCTGATACTCTGTGGCCAGCATTCATACCTACACAAACATAGCCCGTATTGCTGATTTGCAGGAAGTTTCATACCTTCACTGCCAAGATCTGTCAAGGTTTTGGTCCAATACCCCAGTTATCCAATAAAAAGTCATGAAAGTACAATACAAAGAACATACTTTATTTCATTACCTTCATAACTTTCTGCAGTATTTTCATTAATTTCAGTAGTTCATTTTTACATTAAAAATGGAGCACTATAAATTAAATATATTTGCTCATCCCCAGTTATATCTGTGAATTCCTTAAAAATGTTAACATGTGATCATTGGCAAAATATTTCTGTCTCTTCCTTTCACTTTACAGTATATTGTTTGCAGACATTGTGGGGTTTACCAGTTTGGCATCTCAGTGCACTGCTCAAGAACTAGTGAAGCTTCTGAATGAACTCTTTGGAAAGTTTGATGAATTAGCCACAGTAAGTGTATGTTTTTTGTCCCTTTATGAATTTAATTTTAATTGCTTTGTGAATGATGGCTTGTGTGCTTAAAGGGGGAGGGGAAGAATTATGCATAGCTGAGACATGTTTCTAATCCAGTTTCTTACTCAGTTTCTTCTATAAAGTCAATACATCATCACATATTCCTAATACTTCGCTTAAGAATTATGAAGATAGGTTTAAATAATCCATGTAGCCAAGTATCATTTTGTGGCCATGATTGCTGAAAAATGCTAGCTTTATTTCCTGTCATGCTGAGTTAGGGAACTGTTGCACGATAGATGAAAATTGTAGTATAATTTGTAAAATAGGTGTTCCACTGTTTTGTTTTTTTGTTTTTGTTTTTAACAGTCTCTGTGATGCAGCCTTTTTAACTCTATGACTCTCAAAAAATTGTCTATGCAGCCCTTGGCCACCAGAAGTCAGCCACCCCTAAAATAATCCATTGGAGCTGCAAACTAAGTAGTGATAAGAAAAGTAATTAGAGCTGACATTTCATCACCAGTTCTTTCATTATCAGTGGTATCAGATGGACATGTTTACATAATTCAATTAAAATTATTTTTAGTCATTAATATTGACCATACAGTGCTGGAGTTACACATAGAATGCAGAACCACATAGAGTTCCATAAAGTTTTTTGTCTCTTAGCAAGAAAAGATACTGATAATATTGATTAGGCGGTTTTGTATGTGCACACTTTCTTTGATTTCTTAATTTTATTCTTTTATTTTACTCCAATTCTAGAGCATTCAGTACAGTGTGTGTGTGTGTTTCTACTTCTTCTTCTTCTTCTTTTTTTGCCTGCTGCTTCTGTAGTAGTAGATGACGTACTATATGTGTATTTGTATATTTGTAGAAAAGAAAGAAAAAGGAGAGAACATAACCATTAATTCCTCTGGAAGAATTTTTATCCTATATATTTATACATTTATTTTTGCTTTCTAGCACCATTTTTAGCACATAATTTAGTTTAACAGCAGCACAAATTCATTTTTCATTTGTATTTCTGCCTTGCTTATCTGTACCAGTACTTCAAAGAATAAAAATACTTTAAATATTTGAAAGAAGAACTTGCTGCTACAGAAAAAAATGAATTTTATTCCTCTGTATCTTTTTAGTTTGCTTTTCTATAACAACTCCAAACAGAGAAAAGTTATATATAACAATTTTTTAAAGTCTATTTATTTACGGTCATATTAATTAATTGATTGATTATGTGCCATCAAGTCTTTGTCAACTCTTAGCAACCATGTAGCTAGATTTTCTCCATGATGATCTATCCCTAGCCTGGTCTTTCAGGTCTTCCAACAATGCACCCATCACCAACTGAGTCCATCCACCTTGCTGCTGGTCATCCTCTTCTCTTCCATTCCATCTTTCCCAGCATTAGAGCCTTCTCTATTGAGCTAAGTCTTTCCATAATGTGTCCAAAGTAGGATAATTTGGGCCTGGTCATTTGTGCCTCAAGTGAGAACTCCAAGTTGATTTGTTTGATGATCCATTGGTTTGTTTTCTTGGCTGTCCACAGTATTCTGAGGCGTCTTCTCCAACACCAAAGTTCAAAAGTGTCAATACTCCTCCTATCCCACTTTTTCAAAGTCCAGGTTTCACTTTCATAGAGTGTCACAGGGAATACCATTGTTTGCATGATTCTAGTCTTTGTAGGTATAGACCATTTTTTAAAACAACAATGCAACAGTATTTTATTGATTGATTGATTGATTTGATTTATATGGCTGCCCATCTCACATACATATATCAAATATAAAATAACAATAAGCTCATAAAGGAAAGCCTGAAACAATTAGTAGTATGAAGGAGGCAACAGATGGCTTCTCTGAGCCATAGCCATTGTTAAAAATATGGCAACCTTTTTGCAAACAGCTAAGGTTTGATGTAGTAGGAAGAAAGCAGTGATCTCCTGCTGAGACTATGCTGTCTTAGGCACTGCTGAAGCAAATTCTTTGGGAAACATCCTTGGTTCATCTTATCTTATTAGATAGGCTTGAGTCTTCCTCAAGAACACAAATCAAACTTGATCTGGCTCACTGTGGCTTTTCTTTCCTGGCACTAGCTGCTCTTAGAACTGACAAAACCATAGCTAATCTCAAACAGAGGATTTGGGACCTAGATCTTCAAACAGATAAAATCAGACTTTCCATCTTGCATTATAGCTCAGTAATCACTACTCTGAGGTCCATTTCCAGATACTTTTTAAATATCCTACCTATTTCATATAGAAGATATTTCACTCTGGTCTGAACTAGCCAGTTCCCATTAGAGCAACAATTGACACAATATAGCAGTATTCCCTATGTAAATGACCTATTTTTCTTTAAAAAATATCTTTTTTTTTTCATTTTAATTTCCTCCTGCTTTTAGTGCAAATTCCAGAAATAGAAATGTGAAGGAACTATTAAAAGGAACCCGCACACACACAAAAATCAGTAATACTAGGAAAAATGTAACAGAACAGAATTTCATAAGCAAGCATTGCTAAATAGTTATTCATGCATGCATGTCATTATTTCATCTTCACCTCTATTGGGCACACTGATAAACAGCAATGTATCTACAATGCCACTTCTGCTTACCTGAGGACCAGTTCACCTGGCCCTGTTGCAGTCTACAAGGGGTAGTTATCAGCGTGTTCTAACATGTATTTTTCAAGCAGCTTGCCATTCTTTCCCTCAGGCTTGCCATATAAGAGTTCAGGGTAGTGTGTGTGTGTGTGTGTTTGTGTGTATGATAGTACAATCAGTATAACAAAGATAAAGATAAAAGCAGTAGATAAAATATTTAAAAAATAAGAACATTAAAATGTCTTGATAAACAAAGGGTTTTTGCCTGTCATTTAAAAAATAGCAAATGCCTATAGCTTAAGTGATAGTGGAAATGTGTCATTTTATTGATGCTGGTCAGATTTCAAGTAGAAGAGGGGCATGGAAGCATTTTTTAGAAAATATTCTTAAAATAAAAGCAGGTAGATATGGGAATGGCTGTTAGGTGAGTCCTACAACACTTAAGGCTTTAAAATAAATATCAGCATCTTGAAATGGTCTCAGAGGCAATTTGGTATTGCAGCTCTATTAAAATTGCCATATGGTGAATCATACAAGATGTATTAGAGGCCACTATATTCTGTGTGCAAAGATAGCCTTACCCATGAGGTATTACAGTAATTTTGTTGAGATTACAAGTCCAGGAGTGGTCAGAGCTAGCAAATCAGGTAAAAGACTCACAGTGACATGGAAACCTCTTAATGAACCTCTGCTTTTTCAGAGGCTGGGGGAATGTGCAACCATCCAGAACATGTTATACAACTTCTTCCCAAACACAAAATCATCCATCTGCTAGCAATTCTATTGTGTCAAGATTCAACTCCACTTTTATTGCCCCATATCCTACTTGGCTGCAGTCATTTTGAAACTGCCTGGGCTCCTGGATATATGATTAATGCCCAATTAATTTTCTGCATACAAATAAAGTCTTCTATATGCACAATATCCTTCAGTCCAATGGAGTCCGAGTCCAGTGGAGACAGTAAAGGGCAGCTGGTGGCTATTATGTAGCATGCTGATCCATTTTACAGCTTTATTTGTTCTCTCCTGCTGCAACAAGTATATTGCTAAATCATCTCTCTTACACTGAGGAAAAATACAGTGTTTCTTCAAAGTATAACATACCTGGCTTGCTGACTAAAACATACATATATTTTATTAGTCCCTAAACAAACTATATTTATTAAACTAGGCCCATGAATTTCAGAAGTCAGTATGAGTGGGACAAAATTGTAAGAATAATGGGCTCAAAGTATTTGGGGGCCATGTGAATTATTCCATTTTTTATTTATAAACCACCTAAAGTTTTATAGATGCCTTCAGAAAATTAAAAGCCAAGATAGTCCCATATGAATGCTATCTAATATATGCATATAAATATACAATGGGGTGAACAGAGAAAGAGGAAATAAAGATTGAGGCACTAATTATTCATATAAAGTCAAGAGATACTTACTATTGTTTTGAAACCAACAGAAGAGTCAGGGGAAAATGTGCATTTCACAGCAGCAGATTCAAATAATTTTTCACAGACTTTGCAAGACCCAGATTTAGAGTCTGACTAGAAATGTGATTAAGTCTTAAAATCATAGATGCTTCCTCACATTTATCAAAGCTATTTGACACTGAATCTAACCGCTTTGGCCATGATAAAACTTGGGTATCCATACTCCCATTTTAACCCACTCTCCAATTCCTATCAAAGCCCAGGCCAAGAAAAAAGGAATCCACAAATAAGAAAATGTGAAGATGAACCAGGTGTCAGATTCAGCCGGCGCGGCACGGCTAGGGACTTGCCCAGCCGCGCTGAGTCAGTTCCACCACCCGAGCGCAAGCAAAGGAAAAAAGGGGAAGTGGAAAAACCGCGAACTGATTAATGGGCCAGCTGGGACTGCTTAACTAAAACCACAGAGTGGATGTTTTGTATTGGCGCCAATTAGCCTCGGGCGCCGCAGACAAAGGGTTGAGCGGCGGCAAAGCGATCAGCGCATGATTAGGAAAACCCCGGCTTTGTGCACAACAGAAAGAACTAACGAAGGCACGACCACACCAGCGGGGTAAAAGCAATCAAAGGCAAAAGAACTGAACTGAATCTGCCATTTCGGCGAAGGGGGGAATTACTGCGGGTGATTTGTAACATAGCAACGGAGCAAAGCGTGGGAACAGGGGGACTATAAATTGTATTGCAAGATGTGCCAAGCCAGTCCTGGCTTTATCTGTAATTACGTACGTTACGCTTGAGTAAACTTCTTTGTTAAACACACGTGTCACGAGAGTTTCTCTAGACGAACCGGGTAAACCTTACACCAGGAAGCTTCACATAAGCTTTTATTCTTGACAAAAATTACTACAGTCTCATGGTACCTTATGGTAAATATTCTCTGCTAAGGATCGTGAGATGTGCATTCAAGAACT